AGGGATTGGCAGAGAGGGGTGGCAGATACAGAACGGTTAGTAAGGTGGATGAGTCTGGCAGCAGCATTCTTGATAGTTTGAAGAGGGGATAGCCTGTGATTCGATTCAATGAGGAGGGAGTTACAATAGTCAAGGCGAGATATAACAAGGGAGTGAATAAGTTGCTTAGTGATTTCTGAGGTTAGGAACGGGCGTATCTTGGAGATGTTGTGGAGGTGAAGTCTACAAGATTTAGACAGTGATTGGATTTGGGGCTGAAAGGACAGATGGGAGTCTAGGATTACACCTAGTAACCTGCCATGAGGGGAGGGACTGATGATTGTGTTATTGATCTTGATGGAGAAGTCAGGGGAGGGGGCTCGGGCTGGGGGGAATACTAAGAGCTTAGTTTTGGAAAGTTTGAGGAAGTTGAGTGACATCCATGCTGATATGTCACTTAGTAGGTTAGTAATGCTAGAGGAGACTGAAGGGGTGAGGTGAGGGGTAGAAAGATAGATTTGTGTGTCATCAGCATAGAGATGGTACTTGAAGCCATGGGAGTTTATCAAGTGACCAAGGGAGGAGGTGTAGATGGAGAAGAGAAGGGGTCCAAGGACAGAACCTTGAGGGACCCCTACAGAAAGAGGGAGTGAAGAGGAGGAGGCAGCATTATAGTTAACACTGAAGGAGCGCTGCGATAGGTAGGAGGAGAACCAGGAAAGAGCAGAGTCTCGGAGGCCAAGAGAGTGGAGTTTTTTAAGGAAGAGGGGATGGTCAACCATATCAAAAGCCGCAGAGAGGTCAAGTAGTAAGAGTATGGAGTAGTGGCCAATGGTTTTAGCTGTTAGTAGATCATTAGTGAGTTTTTAGTAGGGCAGTTTCAGTGGAATGTAGTGAGTGAAAGCCAGACTGTAAAGGGTCAAGAAGGTTGTTGTCAGTGAGGTGGGAGCTCAGGTGATTGTAGACTTGTAGTTGTAGTGTAGTCTTGCTGAGCTATTGTGTTCTTCCGGCAGGGAGAGCTGTCCCTGCCTGAAGAAGACAGTGAATATTGCTGGCAGCTATCATAGCTGTTGACAATAATCACACACATTACAATCTGATTATCCAATCCCCTTTAGTCAGGCCATTTATTGGCCGAATTTTCGGCCAATAAACGAAAGATCGGTCAGCCCCGCTGCCGATGCAGCCACCAATGTCCACGAAAAACAGCCGTTTTTCGTGGATTTTCCAGCATTACCGATAAAAAAAATAAATGTGAAGATCCGCGAAAAATGTCCGACGGGCTGGCCCCACTAACAGCATAAATATCAGCCGATTTTTTTTTTTTTTTTTTTTTTTTTTTTTGTGTGCAAACGAAAATTCGGATGATAAACGACCCGTCTATGGCCTGTGTTTTTTTTTTTTTGTTGTTTTTTTTTTTTTTTTTTTTTATTTAAATATTTATTAAATTTTTCATGTTAATACAAAAACCCAAAAAGGGAAATAATTCTCATACAAATAGACATTTATAACATTTCTATCTTTCCCTTACTAAAAACTCTTTTCTTTCCCATCCCCCACTACCCCCCCTTCCCGCCCCTCTTCCCCCCCTCCTCCCCCTCTGCAGACTCTAGCCCATTCTAATCTCTTGAGGCTTATTAATTTTTTGTTAACATCCTAGTTCATATTTTCCTATATTTCTCTTTCAATCTTGCTCTTTCCCACTTTTCCCATCTCCTGAAATAAATTCTCATCCTATCTTCCTGCATATGATATGATCTTTCCATTCTACCTATCTGGTTTACTCTATTAATCCAGTCTACCTCCTTCGGTACCTCAGCTTTCCGCCAAAACTTGGGTATCAACCCTTTCGCCGCATTCAAGAAGTACCAAATACCTGAATCTTTATATTTATTTACAGATGTCTCCACATTGTGTAGGAGGCACGTCGTTGGGTCTAACCCTATGTCTATTTCAGTTATTTCTTCAATCAACTTGACTATTATCTTCCAAAAAGCCTGGATTTTCGGACATTCCCACCATATGTGAAACACCGTGCCTATCTCTCCACATCCTCTCCAGCACATATTTGAATTTTCCCCATTCATCTTGTGCTCTACACTTGGTGTAATGTGCCATCGTGTCACACACTTATAATTAACCTCAACCTCTCTCATACTAACATTATCGTGTATCAATCTAAACATCTTCTGTCTATCTTCATCAAACCCAACTCCCATATCTCTTTCCCATTTTGTCATAAAAATTAACTTTGTGTTTGTGTCTAATTCTGTGAGTATTCTATACACTTTTGAAATACCGTGCTTCCCATCCCTTCGTGTCTCTAACAACCTTTCAAACATATTCCACTCCTGTTTTATTCTCAAGGGTTTCGGTAGATTTCCAATAAAACTTTTCAATTGATGATATTTCCACTTATCTATTCTAATAAAAATGTCTCCCTTCTCTATTAACTCTTTAAGTGATCTCAATTCCCCCTCCACCAAAACATCTCTCAGTTGGGTATCCTCCTTTCTAAACCATCTCCCTGATATCTTATTCTTTCCCGGGGGAAAGTACTCAGTATTTGTGAGAGGCATATGGCCTGTGTTAGACCTACCAACAACTACGTGGTACAAGACTTGCCTGAGTGCCTACAAATTGATTGGATAGATTAGATAAGTCCTCATCTTACATAGTTTTAGTAAATAAAAAGTTGATTGTATGATCAGATCATACTGGATATTGTGGATAAATAGGTGGATTTTGTAACCCTTGCACTCTATAGTTTTGGGTAAATGTAGTGGAAGATCGTACAGATGTTTAATGTGTGTGTCCATCTGAAGCCAATGACTGCAAATGCACATAGGTAGCTTGTTAAAATAGTAGATCATCCTAGAAGTTAATATGCTGTGCCTAGTGATGTTTTTCTGTTACATCTTTAGAGTAGATGTCTTTGGCTTGGTAGTGACTGCTGTGATTGAGACACACTTCTGTGGACAATAATGAAGAGTATCTGCCACAAAGAAAAATGTTTGTGAGAAGCCTCTGGTCCTAGCCACCATCCTATACTGTGTCTTCTAGGCTACATGCTATTTCCAGATTGTTGATATCAGTCAAACTGCACTATCAGATAAAACTGCCTTAAAACAACTTTCTGCCAGAGGGAAGATGGCAGATTTCATCTGTTAATTGGAAGACTTGTGATTGTCTCTTTTAATGATGGCCTCCACTTTAAAACTGAAGTCTTAAACCATAATACTAAGGCTGGCCATACATTATACAATTATCTTCCAATTTTCTGCCCAATTTCCTTTAGATTTACCTTCAACTGTGTAGTGCAAGGGCCTGCCTAACTGGATACAACTGAAAGTGTTGTTTAGGTTTGTCCTCCTATTATATGGTTTTTGGTAAATCTAAACCAAAAATCTCCAGATAATTGTATAATGTATGGCCAGCCTAAGTTTAGGGAATGTTGGAAAAATGTGTTAATTTTGACATTATTGTGTACCTAAGTGGTCCTTATACCCTGACCAACTGGCAACAAAGATTCTATAAGATCAGCCTATTTGTCTCTCTCTGGATATCTGAGAATTATTGAAATGCTGAAACCTAATCGGAAAGTCCCAGAAGTGGCTCACATGGGGACTTGCAAACAGCAGCTGGCAACCACACATTGAGCACTGATTAAAAGAGAAGTATGGGATTTTTTTTTTTCCTTCAATTATACTTACCTAGGTGGATGCAGCATCGTTCCCCCCCCACTGGCCTAAGTGTGAGAACTCAGCAATCACATAACCATTGATAAATCACATAACCATTGATCACATAACCATTGATTGCTGAGTTCTCATAGCCTCTCTGAGCAGAATGCGGTGACTGTCAGTTGCCGCTGCTTAGCTTGACTTTGAAGGAGGGGTGGGGGGGCAACAGCTGGCTCAGGCTCTCGGCACATCTCTGAGAGGCTGACCCAGGTGTCACTCCAGACTCTGGGGTGGATCCTGACCTTGAAGTCAGGATCTTTTCTCCAGCCTGGACTAGCTGAGTAACATCAGCTGACAACAGGCTTCAGCCCGCTGTCAACTGAAAATGGGTCACAGGAGTGCAGAAAGAACTGCACTCCTGTGATCCACAGGAGAAGTACAACCAAAAGAGCTTTGGCTGTACTTCTTTAAGTCACCCACTTATATTTCTCCAAACAGTTGATCATAGATATCTAAAGTCTGTAGTCCTGATTTGATCATAGATTGTGCTTGGTCACAAGGGTTTCAAGTTGACCACAAACGGCCATGGGTCACTAGGGTCTTGAGTTGGTCATAGATGGCCCTGGGCTACCAGGGTCCTGATTTGTTCATAGATTGTGCCCGGTCACCAGGGTCCTGAGTTGGTTGTAGACGGCCCTGGGTCACCAGGGTCCTGAGTTGGTTGTAGACGGCCCTGGGTCACCAGGGTCCTGAGTTGGTTGTAGACGGCCCTGGGTCACCAGGGTCCTGAGTTGGTTGTAGACGGCCCTGGGTCACCAGGGTCCTGAGTTGGTTGTAGACGGCCCTGGGTCACCAGGGTCCTGAGTTGGTTGTAGACGGCCCTGGGTCACCAGGGTCCTGAGTTGGTTGTAGACGGCCATGTGTCACCAGGGTCCTGAGTTGGTTGTAGACGGCCATGGGCCACCAGGGTCCTGAGTTGGTTGTAGACGGCCCTGGGTCACCAGGGTCCTGAGTTGGTTGTAGACGGCCCTGGGTCACCAGGCTCCTGAGTTGGTTGTAGATGGCCCTGGGTCACCAGGGTCCTGGGCTCACAAATTACTCTTTTTGTGTGGATGCACATGATTCAGTACAGCGCAGTCTCATTGTGATCATAGTATACTGTAAAGTGTTGCATGCTAGTGTCATTAGATAATTGGGTTCTTTGTGGTTTGCAGGGAAAGGCTGCATAATATTTTAATAATTCTACTGTGAATCATGAAACCTGGCTTACTGTTTTTGTATTTTTTTTCTTTTTCAGAAGGAGATTGCTGTTGTGGTAGTGGCCAGTAAAGCCTGAAGATGCTGCAACATTTGGTGTACAGGTCCAATTGGAGGTCTTTGCTGTCACTACTTCTGCTTGCTTTAGGATGTGCCACTGCATCAGAAATCACATTTGAACTGCCAGATAATGCCAAGCAGTGCTTCTATGAAGATATTACTCAGGGAACTAAGTGTACACTAGAGTTTCAGGTAGGAAGACTTCAAATTTCTCTTTTTGTATTATGATTATGGGTAATGTTTCTTTGTCTTGAGTTGAAATAGTATGACATTCAGTTCAGTTAAACAAATTTAAAAGACATCCCCCAGCCTTTAATAACTTCTGCTGGTCAGGTGTCCTATAGGGTGTGGTCAGGTGCTACATAGAAGATCCTGTTTGCCCTGAATGGTCTTAATACAGCTTTGCTTTGATAGCTCACCTTCATGTTGCTGATACTTATTTTCCCTGCATTCCCCTAGTAAACAGGGGCCCCCTGAAATAGTGGGGTTGATTTTACCAAAGGCAAATAAACTGTGCAGTTGTTTCAGAGCTTAGTATAGTAGGAAAAGCTCTGCTGACTTCCAAAATACAAAAATGCTGTTTTTTTTTATTTTTCCAATTCATCTTCCAGGACAACACATGGGAGAGAGGCTCTGCCTACCTAAAACAGGAAATGTATCATCCAAAATCAAATAAAATGAGCACAGTCACATAGTGTCCTCCATTATTAGTGTTTCCTCTGAATTAACAGGTACATCAGAATGGTTTTTTTCCCTCAGGCCTTTATGCCAGTTGCAGGGGCCCCCTAATATATGCTTCCCCATGATTCCAGGGACAATGAACTTGGAGGGTTTGCATATCTGGGGTTTTCTAGACTACTTTTGTTTGTATCCTAGTTGTGGATAGCTGGAGCAACTACACTTTCAGAGTGCACACACTATTTGCCTTTAGTAAATTAACCCCAGTATGTCCATAAATGAGGAAGCATGTGACTTTTCCCTCCTTCCCCGATGATGCATTGCTGGGTGCCTGAATGGACAGTTGTAAGGTTGGAATGCTGTCACGTGGGTATTGTGGATGATCTTTATCCTGTGTAGCTTCCAGCCCAGTACTTGCACAGGGTTTTTCTGGAAGCTACAGTGGGCATATAGGGCAGTAAGAAAACATGAGAAGGTAAGACTCTGACGGTGATCAGCCAGAATATTTTGCAGCTGCATTTGCTTAAAATTTTCCTAGGTGAATGAGGCTGCTCCTGAATTTTCAATGGATAATGAAACATGTTCTCCTCATCACCTAGTAAGTGTGATGTAAGAGAAAGTATGTTAAAACCTTGCATTGTGAAGTCTGCTGCTTCGTGCCTTTTAGTTCTGGTCTAATATGACATATAACCAGTGGCATTTGTCTCACTAGTAATGATCAACACTGCTCAAAAAAAATTAAAGAAACACTTTTTTTAATCACAGTATAGCATCAAGTCATTTAACTGACTAGATCAATATCCCAGGAGTTTAAGTAGCAGAGGGGGTGGTTGTTTAGTTTCAGCTGCTTTGGTGTTAATTTCATTAACAGGTACACTAGATGGGCAACAATGAGACAACCTCCAAAACAGGAATGGTTTTACAGGAGGAGGCCACTGACGTTTTTTTCCCTACTCATCTTTTCTGACTGTTTTTCACTAGTTTTGGCTAGGGTCAGTGTCACTACTGGCAGCATGAGGTGATACCTGGACCCTATAGCGGTCGCACAGGCAGTCCAACTCTTCCAGGATGGCGCATCAATCTGTGCCATTGCCAGAAGGTTTGCTGTGTCTCCCAGCACAGTCTCAAGAGAATGGAGGAGATTCCAGGAGGCAGACAGTTACTCTAGGACAGTGGTGGGCAACCTTTTTTTCAACTGAGCCAAATCTCGCCAAAACCACGATTGAAATTTATTTTGAGAGCCACATTTTTAAAACTGAAAATACATAGGATGGTACACTGTTTTTAGTTTCAATAAGTTTTTATAGTAATTCATCCCCCATAGTAATTCATCCCCCATATAGTAATTCATCCCCCATATATGAAATTCATCCCCCATATAGTAATTCATCCCCCATAGTAATTCATCCCCCATATAGTAATTCATCCCCCCTATAGTAATTCATCCCTCATAGTAGTAGTAGTAAGTAAGTAGCAAGTAGTAAGCCAAGTCCCCCCTGTGTCAATTCACTTACCTTTGCTCCGCACGTTCCTCTCGCCGTGTTTCCCGCGCCGATCCAGTCTTCAGGGCGGACTGTGAGAGGAGCCTAGCTCCTCTCACGTTCGTCACGCTGCCCCGCCTACACACATCCTGACAGCCAATCACTGGCTATCAGGATGTGAGTGGCAGCGAGACTGGCCAATCATTGCATTTGAGCGCGCTGCCCTGGCTGGTTTTTTTTTTTTTGGATCACGCTGCAGAGTCCCTGCCGCCCGAGAGGAGGGAGGGGGAGCGGGCGCCCGGCACACAAGAGCCGCATTAAAGCGTGTAAAGAGCCGCATGTGGCTCACGAGCCGCGGCTTGCCGACCACTGCTCTAGGAGAACTGGACAGGGCAGTAGATGGTCCTTAACCCATCAGCAGAACCGGTGTCTGCTCCTTTGTGCCAGGAGGAACAGGATGAGCACTGCCAGAGCCCTACAAAATGACCTCCAGCAGGCCACTGGTGTAAATGTATCTGACCAAAGAATTAGAAACAGACTCCACGAGAGTGGCCTGAGGGCTCAATGTCTTCTAGTGGGCCCTGTGCTCACTGCCCGGCACCATAGAGCTTGATTGGCATTTGCCATTGAACACCAGAATTGGCAGGTACGCGACTGGCGCCCTGTGCATTTCACAGATGAGCGCAGCTTCAGCCTGACCACGTGACAGATGTGAAAGGGTCTGGAGAAGCCATGGAGAACATTATGTTGTCTGTGACATCTTTTAGCATGACCGTTTTGGTGGTGGGTCAGTGATGTCTTGGGAGGCATATCCATGGAGGGGGCGCACAGACTTCTACAGGATAGGCAATGGCACCCTGACTGCCATTAGATATCGGGATTAAGGCCTGACTACAGAGTACACTGGGTGCTATGTACTCTACAAATGTGTGACAACCTTCTTTATATCAATTCTACATACAATTAACTTTTTTTTTTTATTTATACATACCATGTGACAAGTTAGCTTGTGCCTGTCATTCTACAGTTGTTTAGCATCGTATATTCTCCCAGGCTTTCTTTGTTTTTAGTTATGCATTGATCTGTTTTATTCATTCATCGTGTCATAAGACACACGATTATTCCTTGCATGTAGTGTTATTCAGGGACAGGAATCACAAAAAAACACCACGGAGTAACCATATGGCCCGTATGGGAAAGTAGTTTAGAACAAAGCATATTTAGTTGTTTAGGAGGCTGTGGTGTAGGTGCCACAGTAGGTGGCTGAGGTTTGGTGCCACAGCAGGTGGCACTTTTATTGATAAGTAGGTGTGATATAATGCCTTTTCTGCTAGTTCTTAGTGGGGGAGCCCTACCCCTGCTCTCTCTTCATTGGGTCACTGTCTGAGATTGACAGTAGTGGGAGCCATTGGCTCCCGCTGCTGTCTCAGCCAATGAGATAGAGACCTGGGAGAGCTGCTGCTCTCATGTACATCACTATGCATGATCGAGATGGGGCTCAGGTAAGTATTAGGAGGGCTGGGGGGGGGGGGGGGATACCGCACACAGGTTTTTTACCTTCATGCATAGCTGGTTCCCAGATTCAAAGCGTGTTATACTTACCTGCTCTGTGCAATAGAATTTCAGAGTGGCCCCGAACCTCCTTTTCTGGGGTCCCTCACAGGCACACTTTAATCTACTCATCTGTGTCTGCCACCATAGCAAGCCTTTTGCCAAGGGGGCAAAGATGCAGGCTCGCCCCTGAACCTGGCTTTGTGCATCCATAGGCACACAGTGTGGCTCGCCCCACTCTCTGCTCACAGGATTTGATTGACAGCAGCAGGAGCCAGTGGTTACCACTGCTGCCTCTGTCTGGTGAATGCAGAGAATAGAGTAGAGAGCTGCTACAGGCAGGCACAGCTGGGTCAAGTTAAGACCCAGGTAAGTATACAGGGCGGTGAGGGGTGATACTGCTACTGGGATTTTTTTTTTTTTACCTTAATGCAGGGAAAGCATTAAAGTGGTTGTAAAGGCTCAAGGTTTTTTAGCTTCATGCATTCTCTGTTCAGTAGCCCCCCAATAATCAAGCCCTCTCTTGATCCATTGATGTGCACTGGAGTCTTGGCAATCCTGGGACTCCCTCTCCTCATTGGCTGCAATGGCTGCTGTTGTCAATCACAGCCAGTGAGAAGAGAGAGTGCGGGGCCAAGTCACGGCTCCGTGTCAGAATGGACACATGGAGCAGCAGGGGCCCCCATAGCAAGATGCTTGTTGTGCGGACACCCGATAGGAGTGAGGGTCCAGGATCGCCGACGGGGGACCCTAGAAGAGGAGGATTTTGGCTGCTCTGTGTAAGCCCACTGCAGATAGAAGGTAAGTATGTGTTTGGTTTTTTTTTAAATATAAGCCTTTAATATAATTTTAAGGAAAAAATATCTTGGATTTACAGCCACTTTAACAGGTTGGAAGGGGATTGCTAATATCCTGGTGTTGGGGCTTAACTTAGAAGGTACCTAGTTTCTTGTGAGGCACTGTTGATTTATGTGTTTTTACAGCTCTGCTGCTGTATTTTCCATTCAATCACCTGTCTTGCATGTTGTTGGCTTAATTCCGCTGAACACACACTCTACTTTGCTTCATTTGATGAGCTGGTGTTTCTTCTCATCCCACAGTGATTGTTTTAATGGGTTGAAAGCCAACCTGTCAAACTGGTTATGGCAGACTAGTAGAAAGCTATTCCTTACTATTCATGTTTGCTGATGCCTGCACTCATTTAAGAAGTACAGGGTTCTTTTGCAAACAGTATTAAAAGTTTTGTTTTTTGTTTTTTTTTTTGTTTCAGTGTTAATGAGGTGGGGGTCACCATTATTATTATTTCTCCTTTGATCATTATGCCAAAATCTTGAATTACTCTAGAGTGTCAGGCATTTATTGCTGGATGTGTCTTTGCTAAAGAGATTCACACTTTTTGTTTGTCCCGGTGAGTATTGTCACCAAGCAGAAAGTGATGGAAAATCCTGCATTTTATAGTTATCAGAGGAAGAGGAATTGAAAGGAAATTTTCTAACGGGGGCGCTTGTTCTGGTGATAACTATCCAAATGGAATTTCCCTTTGCTTTGGAGAGATTTCCAATTACTTCCTGTTGTGCCTGTGGAATAGCAAGTGAAGAGAAAGCTAGACAGTGCTTTACTCAGATAAAACCTTTTTCTTCTGTGTGTTTATCCATTTGCCTGGAGCTCAGCTTTCAGTCATTGAGAAACACTTGGCTTAGCTGAAAAAGTTGAATATAGAAAATAATTACTGCCATGCAGTGTGTTTGCATTTCAGCTACAAGGTGTTAGGGTGTCAGATTGTCTTATCGTACATTCCAGGACCAGCCTAGTTTGTCAACAGCCATTTAGTACTATCACAGTTCAGTAAAATGCTTGGACTTTTTTTGTGGTTTGGTCAGTTTCATGACTTATGAATTTGAGCATTTTCTGTTATCTGCTGCTATATATACACAGGGGATAAAGAAAAGAATCAAACCCTTAATAATCACATTTTGTTGCTTTGCAGCCTAAAATGAAGACAGATGCAGTTTTTGTTTTACCCAGCTGTATTTACTCAGTGCAGCTTATAACATCCAAGTGAAAAACATAACACCAGTTATAGACAGTTGGACAAAAGAGCACCCACGTGTCAGTATTTTGTTGAACCACTTTTTGCTTTAATTCCAGCCTTTAGTCTGTTGGATATGTCTCTTCTAACTTTGCACATCTAGACTTATTTGCCCGCTCTTCTTTGCAGGACTGCTCAGTTTGATGGTGATTGTTTATAGACTGCAGTCTTCAAGTTATTCCATAGATTTTCAATGGGGTTTAAGTCTGGCCTCCGACTAGGCCATGCAAGGACATTCACCTTTTTCTCCTTCAACCACTGTGGGCTCATTTTCACTGTGTGCTTTGGGCCATTGCAATGTTGGAAGGTAAACCTTCTTCCCATTGACAACTTGCTGGCAGAGGGCAGCAGATTTTCCTGAAGAATTTGACGGTATTTTGCCCCATCTGTTTTTCCTTCTGTCCTGAGAAGTGCTCCATTTCCTGATGCAGAGAAAAACCACCATAACAGGATATTACCACCTCCATGCTTTGCTGCAGGAATGGTATTTGGATGGTGAGCTGTATTGGATTTCCGCCATATTGGTTAGTGTTGAGGCCAAACAATTCAATTGTAGTCTGATCTGACCATAACACCTTTTTCTGTGTGGCCTCAGAATCTTCAAGGTGTGTTTTGGCAAAAGCTCAGTCGTGACTGCATGTGGCCTTTCTTGAGGAGCGGCTTTTTTCTTGCAGCCCTCCCATACAGGCCACATTTGAGGAGAATTTGTGATATTGTTGTCACATGTACACAATGACCACTCTGTCATAAATTCCTGCAACTGCTTTAAAGTTGCTGTAGGCCTCATGGTAGCCTATCTGACCAATTTCCTCCAGGCTCTTTCATCCATTTTGGAGTGACTTCCTAATTCAGGGAGGTGTCTGTGTTGTACCAAATCCATTCTATGCACTGATAAAGCCTTTTACATTTTTGTATCCATCTCCTGACTTATGCCTGTCCACAACTTTTATCCCAGGGATTTTTTGACGGTGCCTTGCCACCCATAGTGAATTGTTTGCTTCAGCTGCACTATCGGACTGAAATGCTCCATGAAAGCTCTTTTCATGCTGAGCTAATCAAAATAACCAAAGCTGATCATAGTTGAAAGTCAAATGGCTTTGTGTGCCATCGAGGAGGTGATTAGCTTCACCTGATTGAGTCATTTTTAGGAGAGATGATCCTTTTTCTAACTCATTGATTCTGTTTTTGAATTGTATTTGTTTCTGACATGTTGGTGTTGTATCTGTCACTTGGATGTTATAAGTTGCACTGAGTAAATACAGCTGGATAAAAACTGTGTCTGTCTTCATTTCAGGCTGCAAAGCAACAAAATGTGATTATTTTAAAGGGGGCCATTCTTTTTCTACACCCACTGTATGGTTCAGCCACTTTCCTTTTGTTTTTTTCAGCAACAATATCGTTTTTTTCAGATTGCAGTGCTGTAAATGATTGCTGTAAGTTAGTCTGGGTTTAGTTAATTTTAAAAAAATCAGCAAAATGGCACTTACATAAGTAGTGTCCTTTGTGCTGATTTAAAGTAGTTGCAAAAGTGAAACATTGTTTACCTTAATGAATTCCCTGCATGTTAGGTAAAAAATCTCTCAGTACTAGTATCAAGCCGCCCCTCCCCCCTCACCTCCCTAAATACTTACCTGAGCCCTATCTCGATCCAGATCTGTGCTTGCCTGCAGCAGTGCTGTCCTCTCTCTCTCTCCTCACAGGACACAGAGGCAGCAGTGGGAGCCTATAATCAGGCTTGTGCTGGCACGCCTTCTGCACAGCCATTCGCTGGAAAGAATGCGTGTGCTGTTGCTTCTCCTCCCTGAGCTCCTTGTGCAGCTGGGAACAGAGGTATGTGATCACTTATTTAAAAAAAAAAAAAAAAAAAAATGGGAAAAAAAAGGTATTTATGATGGGGTTTTTTTCTGTAATATGTATACATAAATGTTTTGCCTTTCATTTATATTTTAAATTGAATGGAATGCTTTACAATGTGAGGGTTTACATATAAAGGTTGAGGGCTTTGAATTAACATACATAACTGTGAGCTCTATGTCTTTCTGACTTTTTTTCTTCTTAAATATATATATCAGGTGATTACAGGTGGTCACTATGATGTGGATTGCCGGCTAGAAGACCCCGATGGCATAGTGTTGTACAAGGAGATGAAGAAACAGTACGATAGCTTCACCTTCACAGCCACCCGAAATGGAACATACAAGTTCTGTTTCAGCAATGAGTTTTCCACTTTCACCCACAAGACCGTCTACTTTGACTTCCAAGTTGGGGAAGATCCTCCACTGTTCCCCATTGAGAACAGAGCCACTGCACTGACTCAGGTATAGTATGAATGGCTTCTAAGAATAATCTGCTTAAAAAAAAATCAGTACAGGGGCAATACTTCTCTTCAGTGAGATGTGTCCCTTGAACTGGAGTGTCCTCCTTTCGCTGAAATCTCCTCGGATGCCACCACCCCCGCAGCCGTGGTCCACTGGTGCAATGAGGGTTAATAAAACTGTGACCTCTGACAGGCACTCAACAAGAGTACCTGTTTATGTCCACCTTTTTTTTTTTTTTTTTTTTTTTGCCCAACTGCACCAGTAATAGACAGCTTCTATGAGTGAAACACGATCTATGAATATAGGGGGTAGAGCTATCAATGATCTGCCCCCTACATTCATAGATCCTATTTCATTCATGGAAGCTGTAGTTACAGCCTCTGAATAGGGGAAAAAGGATGGGCATAGTCTGGCACTCTTGAGGAGGGCCTGTAACAGCCCCTTTGGATCTTTTAATCCCCGTTGTACCAGAAGATTTCGGAGGCAGGAATATCAGAGGTGGAATATTTTGGCAAAAGGACAGAGTTCAAGGGAAAAGTCTCACTGAAGATCAATGTTGTCCATCGTGCTGATCTTTTGTTTTGTTTTAGGTTAATTGTAATATAATTGTATGTGGGGGGGGGAGAAATGTACATGTGTAATGTCAAGTATTTTTTTTTTTTTTTTTTTTTCATGTCAGAAATACAAACTGTAGTATTAAGGTTTGAGTATTCAGCTATTTTGCGCTACATTTGTCCAGATGTGCTTCCTTTATTTTTTATTGGGGAATCTATTACTACATAAATGGCAAAGACCTCTCTTTTTTCTGATCTGTAAATTGAATGGATTGTGGCAGCTATGTGTCCTATTGTTAGGGCTTTCAGGCTTTGACTATTCGCCAGACAGTGGCCTACCAGGTAGGGCTAAGGCTTGCCATAGATATTTAATGGGTACTTTTAGACTGCTGCAGCAGGGCTGAGCTGATGGTAGGATTATTTATACAGTGAATTCCTCTGCAATGTGTCCCTGAGCAATCTGGATTCCACAATCACTATGTGAGTCCATTTTGCACTGGGATCCAAGTGAATAAGCTAGTTATGAGCTAGTCTGGGGTAGGCATCCTTTTTGAGAGGTGAAGATCTACCTGAACAGTAAGAAAGAGATCATTGGAATTTGAGGTCATTTTTTTTAAGACATTAACTAGCAAGGCCTCAGTAAATAGTAAGGACATGAGGGAAACTTAATATAATAAAACGTCATTATAAAAATATAAACTTGGCCTACCTTAAAAGTTAGCTTCAGTGAGAAACTAGCTCATTTTTATTCACAATTTGTTCATATTTGGAGAATAATTGGCCACCCCCACAAGACTGATACAGGTGTCCATCATGAATGTAGAACTGGTACTGCAGGCTAACTTGCTCAGCTATTTTCAGGCCAAAGTGTAGGGCAATGTATAGAGATCAGTAATATGTAGGACAGTGTAAGAGGGTTCATTAATATGTATGTGTGGTGTGTAAAGGTCAGTAGGATGTATTAGTGTACAGAGATCAGCAGTATGTAGGGCAGCATACAAAGGTCATGAAGATGTAAGGCAATGTACAGAGCCAGTAGTAGGTAGGGCAGACTACAGGCATCAGCAGTTTGTAGGGCAGAATATGGGGGTCATTATGGCAGAGGACAGTAGAAGACCACACAGGAGTCAGTAGAGCAGTGAATGGTGTCAGTAGTGCAGCGTGTATACAGAGGGTCACTGGAGGGCAGAAACTTCCCTCACATGCAGAGAAGGGAAATGCCGGCACATACTATTCGTTTTCCCCCCGCGTTAATGCTGACCCTCCTCTTTCGTCCGTTCCATGTGATGACACACACAAACGCCTGGGATGGATATAGGAAGGGCCAACCGGGATCAGCGCAGTATACCAGGTTGTTCCTTCCCTGCACTGCCCTGCATTTGTGGAGCCGGCAAGGCAGGGGAGCGATTGGCGGGTTGCCGACCCCTAAACTAGCCTGTTTGCTATGTGCTGACAGACTAATTGGCCATGCTGGTATGGTAAAGTATTTTGCTTTTGTGTAGGGAAGTACAGTAACTCCTGTAGGGGCAAAAGACAGGAAATTTTAAATGGGTATCTGAACCCAAGAACCAAAATGCAGTATATTACAGCTTGCCAGCCTAGATGTGGTGACTACTTTAGTTTTTAGTTTTTTTGTTTTTTTTTTGCTTTGCTTTTGTTTTTTTTTTTTTTCCCTTTATTTTCAGCAGGTGATCCTACCAGTAACACTCCTATCCTAGGGTGACAGCGCTCATTCACTGTACTGTATCACCTTAGGGCAGGACTACATTTACCTCCCCCAATTCTCCATAACATAGAGGAAAGGGGTTCTGTAGTCTTCAGAGACAGCTGGGAACAATATATATGAGCAACAGAGAGGACAGAAATGTATTAGTTGAAAAGATTTCTGGCAGGATGAACAGGTATTTTTCAACTTATTCAACAGATCTAACTAAATGCTTTCAATTGTATATTTAAGGCCTCATGCACACTGGACATTTTTGCCATTTCTCCCAGACGCCATTCATCCTAGCAATGGTGTTTTGGCAGAAAAAGCACTTGACACTTGGAAATGGATGTAAAGCTTTTAGGTGTGTCAAATGCTTGGGGGTTAATTTATTTTGTTGGCCAGAATAATAGTTTATTCTGGCCATTGAAATTAATTAACACTCAAGCACTAAACATGCCTAGCGATGAAGCACGTTTAGGCGCATTTACACGTGGTTACACACGTCAAGTGGTTTTTCTGCCAAAGCGCTGCCACTTCTGGATGCACTGACATTAGGTATTTTTTTTTTTCTGCCACTAAACTTTTATAACCCTATGCATGCATTGACACATAGGCTAACATGCAGGGGCATTTAGAGTCAGAAAAAGAAAAAACGCCAGTCGCCTTTAACCACTTGGCAACCGCTCTATAGCTGAATGATGGCTACAGCGTGGTTGTCCAGTTCTGGGAGGGCGTTATATGACATCTTCCCGTGCGCCCCCAGCTATGCGCAGCCGGCGATCTCCGTAATCGCTGTGTCCAATGACACAGCAGATCACCTGGTAAATGCAGTTGCCAGTTATCGGCTGCACTTTCCTCACGCTGTCACAGCATGAGGAAAGTACTGCCAGTAATCAGCAATTGTCAGAAAACAGATTGGCACTGACCATCTGAGCACCCACAAGTGCCCACTGGTGCCACCCATCAGTAATCAGTCAGTGTCAGTGCCGTCCATCATTGCCTATCAGTGCAGCCTCATCAATGCACATCAGTGAAGTTGAAAAATTACATGTTTGCAAAATTTTTATAATAGAAACAAAGAAACTTTTTTTTTTTTTCAAATTTTTTGCTCTTTTTTTGTTTATAGCGCAAAAAAATAAAACACCCAGTGGCGATTTAAATACCACCAGAAGAAATCTCTATTTGTGTGAAAAAAATGATAAAAATGTCATATGGGTACAGTGTTGCATGACTGCGCAATTGTCATTCAAAGTGAGACAGCGCTGAAAGCTGAAAATTGGCCTGGGCAGGAAGGGGGAGTATAAGTGCCTGGCAGGCAAGTGGTTAAGAGCAGCGTCAAAAACGTCCATTGGGCATGAGACCTAAAAGTCAAAAGGGCACCAAATTAAAGAAGTTAACTGTTGGGGTTTACGTACCCTTTAACCAGTTTTGCACCAAGTTAACATTAGCAAAGCATTATCCGTAGGTTACGACCACTTATGTGAAGACCATTTTAATGCTTTTCAACATTTCAATAAACGGTTGTTTTAGGAGGTAATATGAAGCCATTCAAAACACACTGTGGAAGATAACCTGCTACACTACCCTTCTTCAACTGTTGCATATTATGCCTGGCCTCAAACATTTTTGTTTAATGCCGTGGGACCTTGTTTATTTGTGTATGAATGCTGTCCCGTTTTGGTTCTTGCTTGTATTTTCAAGCCTTAGCAAGATGCGTCATATTTATCTTCTATATTTCTTTCATACAGATGGAATCTGCATGCGTATCAATCCATGAAGCCCTGAAGTCAGTCATTGACTACCAAACACACTTCCGTTTAAGGGAGGCACAAGGACGCAGCCGAGCAGAAGATCTTAATACAAGAGTTGCCTATTGGTCTGTAGGAGAGGCTATCATTCTTCTAGTTGTAAGCATTGGACAGGTATTCCTGCTCAAGAGTTTCTTCTCCGATAAAAGAACCACCACAACACGCGTTGGATCATAACCTGTGTTTTCCAGGATGCTTGATGATATTCATGACACACTGTTTGCCCAAATGCAAATTTTGTTTATTTTTTCCCTATTACCTGTAGGTAAAAAAAACTGTATATATTGGTAAAGCTAGGTTTTACTTTTTAAACTCCAGTTCAAAAAAACCTTGAACATTAAATAAATTAATCTGGAGTTGTGGGGATGAAATAGTTTGTTTTAAAGAAAATGTGGGAAATTTTGGGTTTGTGGGAATAATTTCGATATGATGGCAGCCACTTGCATTTGCTGTTAACAGATTTCATTCTGACAGATTTTGTCCCCTATACTGTAATTTCAAAGTCTTTCAATAGTGCCACTAGAACTCTTTACCCAGTATGCTCTGTGGAACTATAGAAAGAGTATGATACCGAAAGCCAGCCAGTGTGGACTGGATAACCATTCGTAGTTACAAATGTAGTTACAAATTCAAGCTTTGTTTACTATTGTTGGTCCTGTTATGGGAACAAAGATTACACACACTTTTTGTATCAGTATACAGTCCCAGTGGACCTCAGTGATGGCTGCATTCTTTGAAAAGTGTGTTCGGAAATAAAGTAGTTTAATTGTACATTTTACGTTTCACCATGTATTTGACCTTTAGAAAAATATGACGTTCAGCTTGCACTTTTAGTAGACTGATTTCTTTAATTCACCTGATCTCAGTTGAAGGATAATTCCTTTAAATGGCTTTCAGCTGAAGTGGTGGAGCCCAGTGTGCTGTACAATGCCTTGCCCTATAGTCCCAAGTTCTTTCATTTTAAAATCCTGGGCATGCTATAATGCAGTTCTTTCTGTATGCATACCATTGAAGTCCAGTAGACTTCCACAGGTTAACAGAGGCAGTGGTATGTTAAAAAAAAAAAAAAAAAAAAAAGTACTTGGCACAAGACTAAACTTGTTTCAGTCTCCTTTGTTAAAAACTATTAAATGCTATACACCATACACTAATTTATAGCTGTTAGTTACAGTGACTACCATTAGCCTTGTGATTCAACACTGTCACAGCAACTTGTTGGGTGTTTTCTTTGTACAACTTGACACCTCTAGGTGAAGGGCCCTCATCTTGGCAATTGAAGAATGGGAACTTGCACCATTGACAACTGCTAAAGGTGGGAAGTGGATTCTTGACAAATCTTCATGTAGAGATGGTGTTGACAAGCAGTTTGGAGCCATCAGCCAGGTTCAGAGTATTCCAGTCATTGTTTTCAGCTTATTCAAAGCCTTTCAAATGCCTAAAAGATTACTAGATAAAGATGCATTTGAGAAAAAATATATATGGGTTACAGTGCTGCTTTAAGTCACATAAGGCATACATTTTGGTTTTTCAGTAAAACAGTCAAAAGTAAGCATTCCATTCATTATGAATGAGTTTGTATCAATGTAAAATTCTAGAAAAATTTTTTATTCTAATTAATTAAACCTTTATAATGTTTTCTTATTTTTGTTTTTGAATTTTGGGAAATGGGGAAAGCGGGTGTATTTCCTGTGACGGGTGGGATTTTCAAGCAACCCTGAATTTTACACTCAGTTCCCTCACAGGGTAGAAATAAAAAAAGAAAATTATTAAAAATAGTGTAAAACTGTATTGTTTGTTCTTTATTTTAAACTGCTGTGTTCACAGTGGATTTTGTACACATAGCACCATGTAGACCCTACAAATACATAAGGCCTAGTATATTATAGTGGTCAGTGCACAGCATCCATGTTACACGCATTTGGGTTAATTAACGTGGTTGTAAACACTTGCATAGATTAGTCTCAGGTGATACACAGAGATGAAACAAACCCTCCTACATAAGTTGTACCTGTTTATCTGCCCCATCTCTTCTCTACAGCCTCCTAAAGTGCACAGTTTTTACACAGCATTTTTTAAGTTCAAACAGGCAGGGGGTGGGTATTCCATGTCACACACTGCATATGTGGCCACATCCCCTCTACATAGTCTCATAGGGAAACATGCACAACTGTGGCTGTAAATCACCTTCTGTGTGCTGGAGGGGGGGGGGGGTGAAGTCCTCTCCTGGGATTGCTTGGTGTCCACGACAAAAATCGCACTCAGTGCTTTAGATTGAGGATAGGACACACTCTAGAAGGGTATATTTTGTTAATTTTCATTTCAGAGGTTTACAACCAGTTAATATAGCTCGTAAAGTGAACCTGGACTAAGCAACCTTCCCCTCCCCCCCTACAGTGCAAGGCTTGTTGTCTTAGAGACCATTCACCAGGGCCAAGCACGGTTATATGAGGACTTTCTATAGCACTGAAATTCTCAAGTTCAACAGCAGCCAATTGGGTGGAAGATAACATGAGAAAGGTAAGTGTAGTTTGCTGTCGAGCAAACTTTTTTTTTTTTTCTGCCTTGTCTTTTCTGAGAAAAGTATAGGCTAAGTTGAAACTATTGCAAGTGTGGGAAGGAGTGCAAATCGCATGCCTACCACATCAAAAAACACTTGCTCTTCTGTTTAGCAGACACGCGGTGTGCCCCCCATACATTGTAAAATGCAGTGCCTTTTCCAGTCTGTGGAAACGCATAGAGCCAAGACAACATGCATTTTCCCTGTGTCTGCAACTTTAAAAAGGGCCAGGGAATTTGCACAAACTTGGCCGTAGGTAAACGTATAGGTGTGAACCTTGTTTAAAAGGGCATTTTCACTTTGAATGGAAATCACACATCTGCTTTTGCCTGCCCCTCCTACCTAATATTATAACAAGAATACTGCAGGACATAGAAAAGTTTTCTGAGGATGGATTAATGCATTTTGTTTTCTATAACAAACATTTTAAGGAAATGCTTATTTAATTTTTTGCTGTTAGTATGTGTTTATTTACATAAGGTGATGGGTCTGCTGCTTTCCTAAAATAAAATATTTAGCTTCTACATATTTTGTAGATTCTAATGGTTCTTGTGTGCAAAGTATGCAACAAACATATTCCACATTTTTTAAAGACATCTTTGATGACTGAGCGCAGACAGCTGAGACGGCTACTCCTGATTTGGGAGAAGGCATCTCAGATGTGGAGAATGTCACCAGCACACCGAGGATCACCAATATGCCTGAGGAAGGGGTCCTGCGAGACTACAAAACGTTGCCTTGCTGTATCTATGTGATCGTTTATTAAAACTTTTGGACCCATGTTGGTGATCCTCGGTGTGCTGGTGACATTCTCCCTTGCTGATTCTGTTCAGTTTCCAACCGACGGGTGTTGCAGCACCCACTTATACACACAGCCATTTTTAACGCAGGAACTTGTACACTTGGAATCTCAGATGTGTCCAGAAGCATCTGAATTTAGTGTTTTTTTTTTTTTTTTTTTTAAACATCGTGATTAGTTTGCACGTAGAGTTGGTTGAATTAATTGTTATCTATCCTGTAGTATTGCCAGGATATAGGGGATATGAAGCAAGCACAGCCCCTAAATAGAGGTGATCACAATGTCTACTTGTATCCACATTAAATCTAAACTGTCAAAAGGCACAAAAAGCAGATGCCTAGGGGTGTCTGCTTGTACATTAAAATACTGTATATTGTGGCCTCATGGCAAATCTTGACACTTCATTTGTATTGGATATCCAGCTGCACACAATTGTTTTGGCAAACATGGGTATTTGACCACTGAAAACATACTGTGTACAACCACCTTATAAAGGCATTTGTTCTGTTTGACAATATTGGCTTTTCTGTCTTTTTTTTTTTTTTTTCAGAACCTGTAAGTTGTGTAAGCAATTTGTCAAATAAACTGTATGTATGATTTTAATGCATACAAATCTATGCTCCAAGTGATCTACCAATATATTAGAATCTGTTTCAAGGTAGCTTTGCACAGTTTTGGGTTTTTTTTTGTCCAATGTAAATTTTATAAATAATATCTGTTGCATATGTGGTGCGAATGATCTTGGCAAGAGAATTATGAATAATATCGGCTAAATATAACATTTCAGGCCATTCACTGTTGGAAATGATCATTTGTTGATTTCAGCTGTACAAGGCCAAACATTAAGGGCTTGTTCACACTAGTCTGCACAGGAAAACGAGCGGTTTTCCTGTATGAGCAGTGTAGTGCTATGATGGGTCAGGGAAAATGCCCCAGGTAGCCAATACACATAAAAATTATTTTTAACTTATTTAAACTTTGTTCATTGTCATTGATAACTTTTATGTTGGCTCATTACATAAGCACACATGATTTGCATGTTTGCCAGTACTTAGCAGAATAACAGGGCTGTGATGGCCATGTATGGGATATTTAAGTGGTTGGATTAAGTACAATTGTCTATATATTAGGGGTGTACATCTAAAGTCAAATATCAGAAATACAATCTGATGCCACCAAGTCATTGTTAGGAGCCAGGTGTTTTGTAGAATTTTTCAAGATGTAGCACCGGTTGTATTATTTTGAACTAAATTGCTCCTGAGAATTATCCAGGCCTAATTTATAAATCATTGTAAGAAATGTAAACATTTAGAATTTTCTGGACTTCTGCAATAATGGCTTCTGAAATATGATCTGATATTTATCTAAATGATAATAAAATAAAATCCTTTTTCTTATCACACTATGTCACCTCTTGAAAAGGTTGTACAGCATGTAGGAAATTGACACTTGCAGGAAAAATACAAATTTTTTTTCATTTATGCATTCGCTGCCTGGCTGTGGATTATTAGAGACAGTCAATCCATCTGCAACTTGTTTAGGCCTGTGAAATGTAACTGCTTGTTTTGAGGTCATCTAAAGTCACCTGATTAGACCATATTGTACTTCCAATAGTGTTGTTTTAAGAAGAACCAGAGAAAATTGTATATCAAATTTACTGTAGGGCAGAGCAAATCCATACCTGAATTGACTGGGTATAGCTGGCCTAATTTATCATCTTTGTCAGCTTCGAAACCCTAATCGTTAAAGCCTAACCCTGGGAAAAGTAAAAAGTTTGCATTAAGGCGCTCCTGTACTGTAAGGGTTAAATGCTCATTTAGG